TGACCAGTGAAGCGTATGTACACAAAGGTGTAAAAAATGTCCACTGATCGATGTCGATTCGGCTACACTGTAAGCATATAGGTACAATTTGTTGTTATATATATACTGAAATGACTCAATTCAGCTACGTTTTGTTTAACACTTGGTCATAGATGTGCGAGAGTCTATAAGCCCCCTTATCTCGATTTAGAACACCACAGATGCCACTAACAACATCAAATTTGCATGCGAGAAAAACAACAACTGTATAATGCCCTTCCTAGACACTCTACTGGTAAAAAAAAGAAGATGGAACTATGTAGGTATTGGTCTATAGAAAAAAGACCCATACAGACCAATACCTGAACTTCAAATCTCACCATCCTTTGTACCAGAAGTTAGGCGTCCTATGCATGTTGCTCAACAGATGTGATACAATAGTCACAGAACAACAGGACAAAATACAAGAGCAGAGTCACATCGCTAGGGCAATGAAAACTTGTGCATATCCAGAATGGGCCCTAAGAAATTGGGTACAAAAACAGTGTCAAAGTAAGGAGAAGAACAAGCAGAGGCCAACAAGGATAAGAACACAACCAAAGGTCAGGTGGTCATCCTGTATATAAAAGATATATCCGAAACCATCCAGAGGATATATCGCGGTCATGGCATGACAGCCATGAAGCCCCACAAACCGCTTCGTAGTATCCTAGTACACCCAAAGGATAATAAGATATTAACAAGAGGCCCAATTGGCCTGCATCGCTCACCTGTTGGTATATTAATCTCACACTTATAACCTTCAAAGTGATCTAAAAAAAATCTGAATGCAAAATATTAGTATTGATGACAATAATTTATTCAAAAGAACCTGTTTAAAGATTTAAAAACATTTGACCCTTGTGACCTTAAAAATCGAACAAGGTAATTACATTGAACAAACTTTATAACCCTTCATCTCGGGATGCAACTGCCAAATACCACCAACCCAGACATTTTGCTTTTTGAGATTAGGATATTTGAAGATTTATACATATTTGACCAAATGTGACTTTGAAAGTGGGTCAAGGTCATTCAAATGAAAAATCATGATAGCCCTTCATCCAAGCAATAGCGACTGGCCAAATATTGATAATCTGGGCCTCATGGTTACTCAGAAGAAGTTGATTAAAGATTTTGAACATATTTGATCCCTATCACTTTGTTTGTAAGTTTTTTAAAACAATTGACCCCCATGACCTTGAATATAAATCGAGGTCATTTATTTGAACAACTCAGTAGCCTTTCATGTCAGTATGTGATTAGCCAAATATTATCATCCTGGGCCTTCTGGTTATTCAAAAGAAGTTGTTTAAGATTTTAACATATTTGACCCATGTGACCTTTAAAATTGGCGAAGGTCATTCATTTGAACAACCTTGGTATTCCTTCCTCCCAGCATGCTACTGGCCAAATACCATTACCCTAGGCCTCTTGACAATTGAGAAGAAGTTGTTTAAAGTAAAAAGTTGATGCCAGACGGACGACAGAAGGACAGACGATGGACGCCGCACCATGGCATAAGCTGGGAAAGACACCCGGTAAGTATTGAACAGGTTTATGCCAAATGCAATGTGACATATCCAACATGAAGTGCTAGTGGATTTTGTTGTGTCCCAGTTGGCATTTACACTTCAATGCTGAAATACTGCTCTGTAGGTTTTTATCTATCATTCTTTTGTATGTTACATCTGGGATCTAAAACCTGAGTATAAATGTCACGTTCTTTACTGATTTACGTTTATCTGAGATTCCTGTCAGGTGTCATTGTTGTTGGTAACTAGCCAGACATACACATGACTTATGGCTGGAAGTGTGGAAAGATAAGAATCTTCTATGCCATATCAAGTTTAATCATTTCCTTCTTTGTCTGCCTTCTACCAGATACGTGTTCCCAGGTCTTTGTCCAATATGTCCAATCTATGTCATTATACCCACCATCAGCGATCCAAATAAACATGAAGGCTTCAATTTTTTTGCATAATCCCTTCACATTACTTAGCATATAGCTTTCATTGTCTGAGGCTCCTGTGTTTAATCAAAAACATCAGGTACACATGTATAGGGTCAGATATAAGTCTACAACCTGTCCATGTACAATGTATGTCTAACCAATACATACAACATCAATCTTAGTTTAATTGATAATATCCACTAAACTAAATCAGCTGAAATACAGCTATGTAAAGCAAAGAAATATCAACTCTATCAAATAGTGTGAACAACCAGATGTTAGTCGTCAAATGTACTTACTGTCGCCCAGAAACTCATAGAAGGTAGTCGTCAAATGTGATTACTGTCACCCAGAAACTCATAGAAGGTAGTCGTCAAAAGTAATCACTGTCACCCAGAAACTCATAGAAGCTAGTCGTCAAATGTACTTACTGTCGCACAGAAACTCATAGAAGCTAGTCGTCAAATGTACTTACTGTCGCCCAGAAACTCATAGAAGCTAGTCGTCAAATATACTTATTGTTGTCCAGAAAATCATAGAAGGTAGTCATCAAATGTAATTACTGTTGTCTAGAAACTCATAGAAGCTAGTCGTCAAATGTACTTACTGTTGTCTAGAAACTCATAGAACCTAGTTGTCAAATGTTATTAATGTCGCCCAGAATGTCATAGAAGGTAGTCATCAAATGTACTTACTGTCACCCAGAAACTCATAGAAGCTAGTCGTAAAATGTACCTACTGTCGCCCAGAAACTCGAAGAAGCTAGTCTTCAAATGTACTTACTGTCGCCCAGAAACTCATAGAAGCTAGTCGTCAAATGTACTTATTGTTGTCTAGAAACTCATAGAAGCTAGTCGTCAAATGTACTTACTGTCGCCCAGAAACACATAGAAGCTAGTCGTCAAATGTACTTACTGTTGTCCAGAAACTCATAGAAGCTAGTCGTAAAATGTACCTACTGTCGCCCAGAAACTCGAAGAAGCTAGTCTTCAAATGTACTTACTGTCGCCCAGAAACTCATAAAAGCTAGTCGTAAAATGTACTTACTGTCGCCCAGAAACTCATAGAAGCCAGTCGTCAAATGTACTTAATGTCGCCCAGAAACTCATAGAATATAGTCATCAAATGAACTTACTGTCGCCCAGAATCCCCTAGAAGGTAGTCTTCAAATGTACTTACTGTCGCCCAGAAACTCATAAAAGCTAGTCGTCAAATGTACTTACTGTCGCCCAGAAACACATAGAAGCTAGTCGTCAAATGTACTTACTGTTGTCCAGAAACTCATAGAAGCTAGTCGTAAAATGTACCTACTGTCGCCCAGAAACTCGAAGAAGCTAGTCTTCAAATGTACTTACTGTCGCCCAGAAACTCATAGAATCTAGTCGTCAAATGTACTTAATGTCGCCCAGAAACTCATAGAATATAGTCATCAAATGAACTTACTGTCGCCCAGAATCCCCTAGAAGGTAGTCTTCAAATGTACTTACTGTCGCCCAGAAACTCATAGAACGCAGTCATCAAATGTACTTACTGTCGCCCAGAAACTCATAGAACGCAGTCATCAAATGTACTTACTGTCGCCCAGAAACTCATAGAATCTAGTCGTCAAATGTACTTAATGTCGCCCAGAAACTCATAGAAGTTAGTCATCAAATGAACTTACTGTCGCCCAGAAACTCATAGAAGTTAGACGTCAAATGTACTTACTGTCGCCCAGAAACTCATAAAAGCTAGTCGTCAAATGTACTTACTGTCGCCCAGAAACTCATAAAAGCTAGTCGTCAAATGTACTTACTGTCGCCCAGAAACTCACAGAAGCTAGTCGTCAAATGTACTTACTGTCGCCCAGAAACTCACAGAAGCTAGTCGTCAAATGTACTTACTGTCGCCCAGAAACTCATAGAAGCTAGTCGTCAAATGTACTTAATGTCGCCCAGAAACTCATAGAAGATAGTCATCAAATGAACTTACTGTCGCCCAGAAACTCATAGAAGGTAGTCGTCAAATGTACTTACTGTCGCCCAGAAACTCATAGAAGGCAGTCATCAAATGTACTTACTGTCGCCCAGAAACTCATAGAAGATAGTCGTCAAATGTACTTACTGTCACCCAGAAACTCATAGAAGGCAGTCATCAACTGTACTTACTGTCGCCCAGAAACTCATAGAAGCTAGTCGTCAAATGTACTTACTGTCGCCCAGAAACTCATAGAACGTAGTCATCAAATGTACTTACTGTCGCCCAGAAACTCATAGAAGCCCAGTCATCAAATGTACTTACTGTAGCCCAGAAACTCATAGAAGGTAGTCATCAAATGTACTTACTGTCGCCCAGAAACTCATAGAACGTAGTCATCAAATGTACTTACTTTCGCCCAGAAACTCATAGAACGTAGTCATCAAATGTTCTTACTGTCAACCAGAAACTCATAGACGGTAGTCATCAAATGAACTTACTGTCGCCCAGAAACTCATAGAAGCTAGTCGTCAAATGAACTTACTGTTGCCCAGAAACTCATAGAAGATAGTCGTCAAATGTACTTACTGTCGCCCAGAAACTCATAGAAGCTAGTCGTCAAATGTACTTTCTGTCGCCCAGAAACTCATAGAAGGTAGTTGTCAAATGTACTTACTGTCGCCCAGAAACTCATAGAAGCTAGTCGTCAAATGTACTTTCTGTCGCCCAGAAACGCATAGAAGGTAGTTGTCAAATGTACTTACTGTCGCCCAGAACCTCATAGAAGGTAGTCGTCAAATGTACTTACTGTCGCCCAGAAACTCATAGAAGGTAGTCATCAAATGAACTTACTGTCGCCCAGAAACTCATAGACGGTATTCATCAAATGTACTTACTGTCGCCCAGAAACTCATAGATGGTAGTCATCAAATGAACTTACTGTCGCCCAGAAACTCATAGAAGGTAGTCATCAAATGAACTTACTGTCGCCCAGAAACTTATAGACGGTAGTCATCAAATGAACTTACTGTCGCCCAGAAACTCATAGACGGTAGTCATCAAATGTACTTACTGTCGCCCAGAAACTCATAGTGAGCTATGAAGCCATTTTGCTCCTTGGTGGAGTCCGACTTGAAGACAATTTCCATTTTGGGTTGTAATGACACAAATTCTTCAGGTGTGTCAGTGCCACAGAAGCGACCCACTTCTGACTTGAAGCCCTCATCATTCACATAGTGGATCTCTATGTAGTCAAACTGGCACCTACAATACAGCAACATTTATAATTTAAGGTATTAGTATGAAGTGAAGTTTCCTCTCTATATAGTCCCTCAGGGTTATCATTTCTGGTCAATACACAATCATTACACAACATTTGAAATCAGCATAACTGCCCCCTTATGACATATAACAACTTCTTTACAAGCGTTATTTTATCACTACTGTGATTCAAGTAACATTGAGTAATAAGGTATCATAAGAAATCCTAGGCACTTTGGTTTCCATGAAAAGATATTTGCTGGTGGACATTTTAACTGGACTAACTGGCATGCTGGTGGACATTTAAACTGGACTAGCTGACGTGCTGGTGGACATTTAAACCTGACTGCTGGTGGATATTTTAACCTGACTATGCTGGTGGAAATTTTAACTAGACTAGCTGACTTGCTGGTAGACATTTTAACCTGACTGTGCTGGTGGACATTTTAACTGGACTAGCTGACGTGCTGGTGGACATTTAAACCTGACTATGCTGGTGGAAATTTTAACTAGACTAGCTGGCGTGCTGGTGGACATTTTAACCTGACTGTGCTGGTGGACCTTTAAACCTGACTGTGCTGGTGGACATTTTAACCTGACTATATGCTGGAAGACATTTTAACTGGACTAGCTGGCGTGCTGGTAGACATTTTAACCTGACTGTGCTGGTGGACATTTCAACTGGACTAGCTGGCATGCTGGTGGACATTTTTAACTTGACTGTGCTGGTGGACATTTTAACTGGACTAGCTGACTTGCTGGTAAACATTTTAACCTGACTGTGTGCTGGTGGACATTTTTAACTTGACTAGCTGGCATGCTGGTGGACATTTTAACCTGACTGTGCTGGTGGACATTTTAACTGGACTAGCTGACTTGCTGGTAGACATTTTAACCTGACTGTGTGCTGGTGGACATTTTTAACTTGACTAGCTGGCATGCTGGTGGACATTTTAACCTGACTGTGCTGGTGGACATTTTAACTGGACTAGCTGACTTGCTGGTAGACATTTTAACCTGACTGTGTGCTGGTGGACATTTTTAACTTGACTAGCTGGCATGCTGGTGGACATTTTAACCTGACTGTGCTGGTGGACATTTTAACCTGACTGTGCTAGTGGACATTTTAACTGAACTAGCTGACATGCTGGTGAACATTTTAACTGGACTAGCTGACATGCTGGTGGACATTTTAACTGAACTAGCTGACATGCTGGTGGACATTTTAACTGGACTAGCTGGCATGCTGGTGGACATTTTAACTGGACTAGCTGACGTGCTGGTGGACATCTAAACCTGACTGCTGGTGGATATTTTAACCTGACTATGCTGGTGGAAATTTTAACTAGACTAGCTGACTTGCTGGTAGACATTTTAACCTGACTGTGCTGGTGGACATTTTAACTTGACTAGCTGACGTGCTGGTGGACATTTAAACCTGACTGTGCTGGTGGAAATGTTAACTAGACTAGCTGGCGTGCTGGTGGACATTTTAACCTGACTGTGCTGGGGGACATTTCAACTGGACTAGCTGGCATGCTGGCGGACATTTTTAACTTCACTGTGATGGTGGACATTTTAACTGGACTAGCTGACTTGCTGGTAGACATTTTAACCTGACTGTGCTGGTGGACATTTCAACTGGACTAGCTGGCATGCTGGCGGACATTTTTAACTTCACTGTGCTGGTGGACATTTTAACTGGACTAGCTGACTTGCTGGAAGACATTTTAACCTGACTGTGTGCTGGCGGACATTTTTAACTTGACTAGCTGGCGTGCTGGTGGACATTTTAACCTGACTGTGCTAGTGGACATTTTAACTGAACTAGCTGACATGCTGGTGGACATTTTAACTGAACTAGCTGACATGCTGGTGGACATTTTAACTGGGCTAGCTTACATGCTGGAGGACATTTTAACTGGACGAGCTGGCATGCTTGTGGACATTTTAACTGGACTAGCTGGCGTGCTGGTAGACATTTTAGCCTGACTGTGCTGGTGGACATTTCAACTGGACTAGCTGGCATGCTGGGGGACATTTTAACTGGACTAGCTTACATGCTGGTGGACATTTTAACTGGACTAGCTGACATGCTGGTGGACATTTTAACTGGACTAGCTTACATGCTGGAGGACATTTTAACTGGACTAGCTGGCATGCTTGTGGACATTTTACCTGGACTAGCTGGCATACTGGTGGACATTTTAACTGGACTAGCTGACATACTTGTGGACATTTTAACTGGACTAGCTGACATGCTGGTGGACATTTTAACTGGACTAGCTGGCATACTTGTGGACATTTTAATTGGACTAGCTGGCATACTTGTGGACATTTTAACTGGACTAGCTGACATGCTGGTGGAATGTTTAGGAGGGGATGCATTACCATAGAGAGTTTCGCTTTGTTTATATTTATGTAATACTTGTGGTCAAATAGAGAGGTTTTCCATAATGTGTAATGTACGAGTATCCATCATAAGTACAAAACAGTAGAATTAGTGTCTCCCCCATGTGATGTGATTATTTATAGTAATATTTGAATGAACAAATCAGAATTGAGGATAAGTGCCTGCAAGCTCATGAGATTATGTGCAGATTCCACCCAACTCCAGTATAGGGATTGTCTCCCCTTTTAACCATACTCTAATCATACTTAAATAAGAATATGTTCAAAAATGAACATGAGAATCACATTTTTGTGTAAACAGAGGTGTGAGACCAAGACGTTTCAAAGATAGAGAGGTAATATTAGCAATTTAGTGTGCATGTAGGCGAAGTAACAAGCAAATTGATGAATTTTCTTGAAAAACAATGATAGCAAAATGAACAAAGAGCAATAACTCTGTGTATTGTGGGACACAAGACCTGACTTGAGTATACAACACTGTGCCTTCACAAGATAGTAATGTTATCACACAAGACCTGACTTGAGTATACTGCACTCTGCCTTCACAAGATAGTAATGTTATAACACAAGACCTGACTTGAGTATACAGCACTGTGCCTTCACAAGATAGTAATGATATAACACAATTAAGACCTGACTTGAGTATACAACACTGTGCTTTCACAAGATAGTAACGTTATAACACAAGACCTGACTTGAGTATACAACACTCTGCCTTCACAAGATAGTAACGTTATAACACAAGACCTGACTTGAGTATACAACACTGTGCTTTCACAAGATAGTAATGTTATAACACAAGACCTGACTTGAGTATACAACACTGTGCCTTCACAAGATAGTAATGTTATAACACAAGACCTGACTTGAGTATACAACACTGTGCCTTCACAAGATAGTAATGTTATAACACAAGACCTGACTTGAGTATACAACACTGTGCCTTCACAAGATAGTAATGTTATAACACAAGACCTGACTTGAGTATACAACACTGTGCCTTCACAAGATAGTAATGTTATAACACAAGACCTGACTTGAGTATACAACACTGTGCCTTCACAAGATAGTAATGTTATAACACAAGACCTGACTTGAGTATACAACACTGTGCCTTCACAAGATAGTAATGTTATAACACAAGACCTGACTTGAGTATACAACACTGTGCCTTCACAAGATAGTAATGTTATAACACAAGACCTGACTTGAGTATACAACACTGTGCCTTCACAAGATAGTAATGTTATAACACAAGACCTGACTTGAGTATACAACACTGTGCCTTCACAAGATAGTAATGTTATAACACAAGACCTGACTTGAGTATACAACACTGTGCCTTCACAAGATAGTAATGTTATAACACAAGACCTGACTTGAGTATACAACACTGTGCCTTCACAAGATAGTAATGTTATAACACAAGACCTGACTTGAGTATACAACACTGTGCCTTCACAAGATAGTAATGTTATACCACAAGACCTGACTTGAGTATACAACGCTGTGACTTCACAAGGTAGTAACGTTATAACACAAGACCTGACTTGAGTATACAGCACTCTGCCTTCAGAAGATAGTAATGTTATAACACAAGACCTGACTTGAGGATACAACACTGTGACTTCACAAGGTAGTAAGGTTATAACACAAGACCTGACTTGAATATACAGCTCTCTGCTTTCGCAAGATAGTAATGTTATAACACAAGCCCTGGCTTGAGTATACAACGCTGTGCCTTCAACAGATAGTAATGTTATAACACAAGTCCTGACTTGAGTATACAACGCTGTGTCTTCACAAGATAGCAATGTTATACCACAAGACCTGACTTGAGTATACAACTCTGTGACTTCACAAGGTAGTAACGTTAAACCACAAGCCCTGACTTGAGTATACAGCACTCTGCCTTCAGAAGATAGTAATGTTATAACACAAGACCTGACTTTAGTATACAACGCTGTGCCTTCACAAGATAGCAATGTTATACCACAAGACCTGACTTGAGTATACAACACTCTGTCTTCACAAGATAGTAATATTTAGTTTGGTGAATAAAGGTGAAAAGCCAAGGAAGGTACATGTATGCTCTGGATATCAAGTCTGGTATCAAAAATAAACGTCAGGCCTTAAACTTGATAATTATAGTTGGCACTATGCAGACTCAATTACAATATATCTATCCAAGATTAATAATTATAGCAAATTTGGTAAAACAGGTGGAGAAGCAAGACATTTTACTATGGCTGTACCCAACTTGCCAGCCTGTCAGCCATCAAGGCCACATCATAATATGTCCCGTCATACGTTGACAGACGTTTAAAAAGTACGGACACACTTTTTTTTATTAAGTTATGTTTGAATGTGATTGATTATCGAATGACTGTCTTTCCATTTTTCATACTACTGTGACATTTGATAAACACTAATTGGATAGAAACTCTGAGGAAAGCCAAGCTGTAATTGTGATGAAAGCTTTTTTTGGTAAACTATGTAATATCACTGCGACAGTTCGACTGACAAAAAATGTTGTAAAATCTTCTAAATGAATTAGATATATGCATGCAGCTAACCATTCCACTAACAAT